AAATAAAAACGATTACATGCGTACACAAGTCGTTGGAGTCAATGTTTGTAGCTCTTTACCTATTACTTTTAGTGTGACACTCATAAATTATGTGCGAATGCACGCATGTTGTGTTAAGCAGTGCTCGAACATGAAAATAGTGGATTACATTAAATAACCGATTATATACGATTATTTATGCTTTCCGCCCATTTATTGCTCGACAACGACGACCACAACACGTCACGTTCCTCACATTTTGCCACAAAATACAACCGAGAACGAGCACAAACAGTATTTCCAGTTATTCCTAACCTGCATGCATGCTTATACTCGCTTAAACTATTTTTCATCATTTTAAAAAAAGAAGGCACACATTTGCGTTTTCGCACTTTTTCCAAATGATCGTGTTGTCCGTATCAATTCAGTTGAAGGCTCATTTTACGAGAACTGACTATGGAATTATATTAACAAATGTGTTATTTATTGCTCTTTGTACGCATGGTTAATCTATTTTCTAAAATACAATTTGACCAAAGTGGCGTTAATTTACTCTCACGTCATTGAGCATTTTGCTGAAAATAAATTGAATCGCAATCGAATTGAATGCCAATTATAGCAGTCAAATGGCATGTACGCATAAAAGCGGTAAAATTAAATACTATTTCATTTGACAGCCGCTCATTTCTAATTAAAATTTACAGGTGGAGTTGTATGACAGATTCTCTTTTGATGAAAAGCGCTTCGTTCCGACGGTAAATTGGTCTCACAGGAAATCTCATCTCTCATTCTCTATGTGCCACATAGAGACGGACAAAACAAACATCACATAGAAATCGAGACCAATTACAATCATTTTCAATCATTTGATATGCGATCAATTATTTTTGCACAATGAAATAAAGTAATTTCAAATGAAGAAATTCAATCCAGTCAATTGAGCATATTAAATTTTACTGGATGAACAAAAACTGAATGAACATTTAGATTACCAGGAACGACAATTGAATAGTCTCAATCAAATATTTTATTCAAGGTCTAACTCATTTACTGATACGTGTGGTGATAATTTTGTTTTATACACGAGCATCAGTGTCTGCTATTCAAACGAAGTGCAACAAAAAATCACGACCTATTGACAAAATCAACCAAATTCATCTAATTAACGTCAGTTTAATTGCAAATATTTAATCACCGTGAGACATAACATCTGTTTCAATCAAATTAGTGTATATTGTTTTGCGTTTATTTCATGTTGTAAAATGGAGATTTTTGATCGATTTTCTTCTATCAAATTTATGGTGTTTACAGATTTGAATAGTGACTTTTTTTTTTATAATTTCCATTAATTATCATATTGTGTGCGAAATAGACAATTTTCAACATGACATTTTGCAATTCGTCACCGACAACGCGCCCAAAAACGCTAATGGAATTACTATTGGCCAAGAAAATTGAGGCCGCTTCGGCTGAAGGTGGACTAGGCCGTCGATTGCTTCGAACCGATTCGATGGATTCAGTTTCAAGCATTGGCTCTTGCACCTCGTCAATGCTTGGCGAAGATGTGTGTCGTTGTGACGATTGTCTGTTGGGCATTGTTGATCTTTACGTTATTCAGCCAAGCGAACGAGCATCACTTAAGAAAAAGGTAAAACAATGCAGCCCGATTCGATTAAAATTTTGGAGAGAATATCGAACTTTGAATTCATTGAATAAAATCTGCAATTTGTACAAGATTTATTACGTAAATTCACGAATTACGCGATCTTGTTCGTTTTGCGTATGTTAATGGATCCGGTGAAGCTGTTGCTTGTATGACACAATGTGTCAATATTAAACGAAAAAAAAAACCATATGCAATTTGATGTCACTCATTGCAATTCATGGCTTTTTTTTTAATTCGTCAGAGTCATTTCAATTGAACGAATAACACACTCTGATGCTGTTTAATGATTTCATTATACTTTTTTAACATTTATCCTTATCAATCTTATGCAATAGACTAACTACATTTTGTTTACTGAATAATGGAGACTCATTGATTTAGGCTAACTTGTTGTATTGCAATGCACATTTTGAACTTCAAACCTTTCATTCCTTCCTTTATTTCCAGTTAACTGTAAACATTTGAAATGCAACTGATTTAGAGATTGTAGTAATATATATTTTTTTTTAATTTTTGTATTTGCAGGTATGTACAGATTCAAAATACATATAATAAAATGAAGGATGGTCTTTAATAATGATCTCACGTTGACTTTTACGTAAGTTTTTCGAAATTTATTTAGTCTTCAGGGAGTAATAAAGAAATATTTTACAAACGAAACGAGAACATTAAAGAAAAACCAGCATCTACAAATCGTAATGCAAGTGCTAAATGCTAGGTAAATAAACGAATGTGTGTAAAAAAAAACACACACACTTTTCAAAAAAAAAAAAAAATTCTATTAAAATAGCAACATGCTGACTTGAATTCGATACCGTTTGCTATAGGTGATATTGAATGCGCAATGTGTAGTTCGTGAAAACGCAATAGAAACACTGCAGTCTTTCGATTTACGATCGAACCGATTCCAACTGTGTACGATGAAACTTATTCGAAGCAAAATAAATCATAAGCCAATTTTCATTATTATTTACGTCGTTCGTAAGTTATTATTATGACATTAAATATGAATGCGTGTGAAATGTACGAAGGGAAAAAAGTGCTTTTAATAAATCTAAATTCGAATATAAATCAAGTAGAATTGGTCGACGCATAATGAGATTGCAATAATTTATTGATTGGTTTTCCTTAGGCTGAGACAATTCGTCTCAGCGATTAAGTTAATCGCACCGTAAATGTGCACACCTGAACTCTTGCCCGTCTCAATATACAGGTTCTAGATTTTTTTAATTATATTTAATTCCTTCTCTCCCTCTTTGTTTGTCTCTGTATCTCCGTTTATCTTCTCGGATATCTTTGGCAATAATACGTGCGATTCTCAGTGAGAATCTTTCATGTCAAGATGCACGTATACGTTCCAAAGAACTTAATTTCATCGAAATGTAATCGTTTTGTTGTTGTTGTGTTTTTATGAATCCAATATAAACAAAAACAAGGTGCTATCTTTGATATATTAAACTGGTTATAAATTAAACTTTAATTCATTTTGTACAGTTCGTGACAGTTTCAATTTTTTTTTGATCATCTTAGTGGAGGCATAGTGTTTTGAATAAATAAATTCTTGGTTTTATAGAGAATTTGAAGTATTTGATAGCCGATTGTTAAGATGGTCATGAGACATGAGCTCTGAATGACGTCCATTCGGTAGTTAGTCACTTTGTGGTCATTTCAATATGATCTTACAACAAACTGGATACGATGTTTATTGCTGTTCGGTGGTTTTGTTTTTATGAGATATGGTCTCCGTGAATGAGGGCAGCAAATTAATGATTCACATGATTGAAGACGTCACAAATTGGGATGTAAAAAAATATGAAACTCGCACAAGTTTCGAGTGAATACCATGTTGGTGTCACGTATGCATTGGTTTCCAGTGAACTGTTGTTTTTATTTTGACATCCTTTCCATTCCATCATGAATATTCCGAAGCGAAAGGCTTGGAATTTTTTTTTTCTTCAATAGTAAATATTTGTGTGTTTATGATGACGTATGGTGACGCATTTTTTTATTATTTCAAAATAGCCACTGCGTTATCAGGTCTTGTTCTTTTCCTTGTTCAAATGCAAACTCATTACTATGTCTGGCTGGGTCAACCGTCTGGGTCTGCAATAACACAACCATTTTTTTGTAATATGTAAAATAAACTTTGGACCATATAATTGAATACAAAAACACGCATACATAATGCGTGTCACACATTTCTAAAGCACTGCTTGTAGGCTGATGTGTATTGGTATTGCTAATTACCTATTTAATCCAATGAATACTCACACATTTTAATGCACTGCTCAATTATTTTGCTAATGTTTTACATTGCTATGGAGTTGTACACAGAATGAAGATGAATGTCAGTTTGTGTCGGTATCGTTAATAGTAAACATGTGTCAAACGGAAATCAAGTACACGATTTCAATCGTGAAATGACCGAAAATCTAATGAAAGCATTCCGTTTTTTTATAAAGTGAAGCAGCCACTTAATCAAATCATCTGTAGAGCATGTGATTCGGAGATTGGCAATATCAAAATAAAATTCTCAACCATCTATTTCTAAATACGATTAGATTTATATTGTGCAATCTGTCATTGGTTCCTTCACTATATATTTTGACACGATAATCATTTTATTTATAAACATTCAACGATTCAAACCTTTCAATCAACAAAAAACGACGACGGCGGCGACGACGACGACGACGACGACGACGACGACGACGACGTCAGAGAAACAACAACAACAGCGCAGGTCAATAGATAATATGATGGAACACAAGTGTATATTGAATTGTTAGTGTTTGCATATGGCCATTGTAAATGTAAAAGAAATCGACGATAGAGTGAATAGAATTATCAGAGGATCGTCGTTACACCGGTTTGTGAATTGATCATGCAATTGTCATAGATTTGAATAAATGAGTTTGTGTATGTTTGTTTGCATTTTTTTTTTCATTGATATGATTTGACCGAATCGGTTTTGTGCTAATCAACTGGAATTTGATTAGGTGTATTGGTGTTGGGTGTGTGTGTGCTTGTTTGATTTCACCTCAAAAGCCTCTTTTTCACTCACTCTCACTTAACAAAATCGTCGGCTGGCTTTGAACGATACACTGCGGCCCCAACGAAAACCAGAAAAGAAAAGAAAGAGAGAAAACAAAAAAAAATGAAACCGATTACGAGCAAATCATCATTCGTGTATGGGTGTTGCTGTGATACAATACCATCGTAGTTGTCTTGCGCTTATATATATACATATAAATATTTGTGTGTGCAATATTGCGAATGAACAAACACGATACACTGTCGTTTCGATTTATTTTACGCTCGCACCTCTCGTACAGCGATTTAAATATATTGTCAGTCAGTTCGTTTTTTGAATTTTACAAGAGAGGAAGTGTTAAATTGTTTTTCCTCCGAATCAAAACCAAAACCTCCAGTGTCTTACGGTGAAAATCGCAATGTTCAGATCGATCGTACTTTCAAATGTTTGGAAACCATTTGTCAAAATTCCAGTTGAATATCGAAAACGATTTTTAAGTTAATCCAACGTAAATTGAATCGGTTTTCTCTGTCGAGTGATGTAATCGCAGAAAAAAAACGAGTTTATTGTTAAATTCCAAAATTGAAAATTAAGAAGTGTGAAGAAATTTGATATTTTGCACATAGACAATTGATACGAAGAAGCGAAAGCAGTGATCAGTATTGTACTTGGATGTAAGTGCAAAAAAACCGTCTCATTTTATTTTCTCGTATCGTTGTCATTCAGTGAATTTGCGTCACTTATTCATAATTCCTTTTTTTTTCTCTCACTCTCTCGTCGAATGGTATTGTTGTTGATATTTTTCATTCGGTTTCGTGGTCGTTGTCATTATTCAACCGACATATTATCATTGTGCGCTTGAAAGACAACCAGAAACAACGAAGACGATATATTTGTATTACGACAAGTAATATTTACGCGACCGTCAATGTAATGACGGTACATTGTACACACATCTCAATATACAAATTCTTTTTGCTGCTGTTAAAAGTCATGGCATTGGAAATAGTAGCGGCTAGAATTATTTTATGCCTTATTATGCCCTTTGATGTTGTTGGTGTTCAAGTATATGTTGTGTGCCACGTGTAGTAGCCTTCTTTTTATTCATTCATTTTATTAATTTTATAATATATATTCACGGCAGTTTATTGTAACCGACAATATTTTTTTGTTGTCGTTGTCATATTCGTTCAGTTTTTATCTATTGTGTGTTGGCGACATCAGCCACATTTTAAGTTCATGGAATGAGTACAAAATGTACGTAAGTGATTATGATGATGACAAAACAACCGTTGACAAAAGATAATTCGAAATACTTTTTACTCAACTCCATTGACTCTTTCTGACGCAAAAAGAAAGAGAATATGAAATTGAGTACAAATGGGAAATTTTCTTTATAAAAACTCTCTGTCGGTCTCGCTCTCATCACGGAACCACACATACGTCATTCAATCCGATTAAAGTTTTTATCTTGTGAAATTACGCTCTAATTAGGAAATGACAAACTGTGATTCAGAGAACGAAGTAAAATCGTTGACGAACTTTTATAACAGCATATTCATTCAAGATGACGATCAAGAAATCTGGTCACAATATATTATTCAGCATTTTAATGAGGTTAGTCATTTAAATGAAGCATCATGTAATTCAACTGTATCGAGTGAAATTATCGGCGCGCTAAAACACGCTGTGTGAGCGAAAGAATAAAAATAACACATTTTTCTCTCTCGCGAGATAGAATGAAATCCACAAACGAATAATGAAAAAAAAAAAATTATTATTATTTAAGAGCGAAGCATGTGTGCAATCAAACAAGTGTGTGCTTCAAACAAACCGATGTCTGAGGCACAATACAGCACCCGCCTGTGAAATAAAACGTAAACCAAATAAACAAATTGAATACAAACCGAAAACCAATAGAATTTCATTCGATATTAAACACACGAGCAAAGCCAAACGGCAAACAATTTTGTAATCCAAGATGCACTACCAGATTGCTAAGTGGTACTTGCTTGGATCTCGTAAATTACGTTGTAACGCAATGCGCTATCTCGAGACACACTCGTTTCTCTTTCCTCTTCAATTCAATGTTTTTTTTTATATTAAGAATGTGGTTTTTGCTCTGTCTTTGTCACATTTTCATCTAAAACACTAAGTCATTTCGCCAATTATCAATTAGCATTATCGAATTATTTCTTCGATCGTCCAATAATTTCCAACTAGATTTTGCTCCAGTGCGCACATTAACTTTGTTGCATTTACTCAAAATGGGCAAATGATCAGATAATTGGTATGGTTTGATTACTCTACGAACATCGTTTTATCGGTTTGATTACATCAAATGCATTTTATTCCGTTATTAAAATGGAATTGTAGTCAGTTTGTGCAGCCCAAACTACTAAAAGCAATACACATTCTCTCACTCTCTCTCTCTATCTCTCGTTCTCATTCCTACTTCGTAGTTTTACAACCAATGAATTGATGCAGTTTTTTGATTTGATTCATTCGTTCGTACATTTTGTTCAGTCGCTCGTTTCGATTGGAAACCGAAGAGAATTTTATGCGGTAATAAGTGCTCGTTACACAGAAATATTTAATTTATAAGTGTGTAATGCAACGGGCAAATAGATTAAACAAGTGATTGAAACATATATACTTTTTCCAAATGTGATGCCATTCTCTCGATATTTGTTTGCCATTTAAATGGTCGATACATCAGGAAAAATGGCTTTAAATGGAAACTTAACTGTTAATGTATTCTGATATATTCGAAGTAATTGCTATAAAAATCAATTGATGACGTCGTTCCGATATCGATTTACTTGCACGCATCGTAAAACTATGTACGTGCAAGAGAGAAAAAAAAGCCGAAAAAAATCTGATCAGCGTCTGTGGAGTCTGTGAAACAAGTCATTCGGAAATTGTTTGGCTATTTATAGTTGTTTCGACAAATTGTATCTGTCTCTTGTTGAATAAACACGATTTATTGTAGTTGACGAAAGGTAAAGCGATCAGTGAACTTTCATCAAATTGCGAACATTGACTCAGAATATAATTTAAAAATCCAATTGCTTTATATGGAAATTTGTCAACAATTCAAACCGCTAATCGGAAACATTCAGTGATTCAATAAAAATGCCACATCTGAACGTTGCATCAGCAAAACAAATATGAAACACATGATGCTTGATTTTGATGCATTCAATATTTTGCGTCGATTTGTATGATCCTATCAAGATGTTTGATTTATGTTCGAACAAAATTCAGCCAAGTGTGTAAAAAGTAAGAGTGACGATTCGGCAGTGGCGACACACTTTTAATCACAACATTATTAAAAATAATTGAACTTTTTTTTTGCGAACACTGATAACATTCACTGACGTTTATAATTTTGCTATTATTAAATTTCGCACGCTACTATGAGTGACCTAAAATGTGAATTGGTCATGAATGTTCCGGCTGATATTCGAATCACTGTATCATTCGATTTTTTTTTCCTTGAATGACAAATGAATTTGTACAATAACAAAAATCCCAATGAATTTGGTGGTCGGTGTTATGAATAAAACGAATCGTAAAACTGATGACCGATAATTGTCGATTAAATTTGCTGATTCAATTTTGTAATTAATTTCAAATATAAACAGGATTTACGCTAGCTGACTGAATTTCAAGGAAGGAAACAGAGAAGAATAAAGAAGAAGTAATCGTGCACTGATTCTAGCTACGGTGATAAAAGTAAACGGATAATGTCTATATGTACAATACAGTTGCCGATCGTCCGTATTTTTAAAGATTTTGATAAAATGAGCGCACAAGAGCAACAATTTGCTGCGATGGATCACGATGATGATGTCGATGATACAAACGAATGCGATGGAAAAAATCGATGTGTCATCAAATTCGTGGATACCAGCTATCAGCAGCAAGACGGCAGTATATCCGACAATGAAGAAGATGCTGTTACATCAACAAAACCATTGCGACAACGAAAGCGCTCAATGTCGAATACACCATACAAAATGAGCAAAGCCTTTTCCGACAGTCATTCGCTATGTGATGACTGTAACACAAACACATTTCATCACAATTGCATTTCAAAACGATCGAATGCATCGAGTGGATCGAATATGACGTCAAGCTCTGGTAGTAACAGTTTGCGCAAACAATTATTAGTTCGACGTTCTCCATCGCCGTCTGTTCGGGATCGAAACCATCAACCGCATAAAATACCATTGATGCGAAATGTTTCGGTTGGACTGAGTCCTGGATATGCGCAATATCAAATGGATTTGCTTGAAGTTCCTATGCCTCGTGACTACGGCGATGCATCGTCCGATGATTTAAGCAGTGAATGGGACTCAGACGTACAAGAAAGTCAACGATCGCCAAAGGTTTTTATCATTTTCACTTAAAATTTGATCATTTTTGATTTACTCAATCGAACGTATATGATGATTTCGTAAAAAAAATAGAACAAACAGTGGGTTGATCGTTTGTACTATTTTACATTAGTCATATTTTCATGCAATCCAATGCACGACATTCCTAACGTAGTTTAATTTTTTTTCTATAACGATTGCGTCATTAACACACGACAATCATGGTATTACGCATACAGATTTCGTGCAAAATTGAAAACTATCATGTCGAATTTTTCGAGCCTGTGACTTTCAACCGCGACCAAAAATTCAAAACTGTTGTGAATTAATGTCGTACTCGTGTTTGATTTTTTTTACATAGCGGACAAAAATCAAGTTTTTTTCTTCTTCTTCTTCTTCTTTTGATGCTGTTGCTGGTGATGGTGTTTGTTTGTATTGGCATGTGCGATACTTAACTAAATTAATTATTTCTTTCGGCGCGAAATAGTTATATATATAACTATATGTCTAATTATTTATTATTGCTGGCAAAAGGCCTATTATGGCTTCAAACACTAATTAAATCGCTGAACTCTTGTATGAACCGGTGCATTTATAGTTTATATCAACAATTTTTTGTTGTTGCTGTTGTAGATTCAATAAGCCATTAAATAGTTCGAAACGATGAAAAATGCGGTTTTTGAAGTTGTTGAATTGCCAGCTGTAATGATTTAAGACCGTGTGTAGTTTATTGTAAGACCTAATTCGATTCAGACATGTGATAGCATTTTATGACGCAGGGATTCTCGGATTGTAGTCATACCATTCAAAATTTCAACGGAAAAGATTAGAAAAAAATTGAAAGTTTTGAAACAAAATAAAACGAGCTATGACCCCATCAAAATGTGTCACGAACGGTGATCACGCATTCTAGACGATGTCGGCTCTGAACTTTCAAGTATTTATTTTGAATTTTTCCACATAAACATAAATGCACTTTCGACTTTGAAACGTGCTTTCGATTTATTTGTATCGCATCGAGACGTCAATTTTGTAAATTGTTTTTTCAGGTCACACACATGGTTAATCCAGAAAAAACTTACAACCAAACGACACAAAACATTCCAGATCCAAGATTCTCAAGAAATCTCTTGATGCAAATTAGAGCACCAAAACATTTGCAAAGGTCTGTTGACAACACTGGTTAAGTTGTTACATATGAAGTAAAACGGAAGATTTTTCAATCACATTTATTCAATGAGTTTACATATTCAAACAAATGATAATGTTGTATTTTATTCTCGTCAAAGTTTAATACGACGTTGCCATTTTTATTGATTGAATAAGAGTTATAAATATCACTGGTCATGCGATTGACTTCATAATAATTCTCGTCATTGACAAATTTTTCATAGTAGCACAATGTATTTTCTCTTCTTTCGAACTACGTTTGAACCCAAATCGTGTAACGCTGGAGAAATGTGATAAAGCCATGTGATGCGAGCCGAGTGATAGATAAGAAAGTGCGTGTGATATGACTTGATGTGAAAATAAAGTGAATATTTCATTGAAACGTGCGCAATCATTAATCATGTGTACAGAAAATTAAACGTATGACTTTACGCTTGAATATGAAAAACAAAACTTTCACCCGGAAAAATATATCATTTTGTATCGTCGATATGTGCATGACCCAAAAATGGAGCTTCATTCATTTAGAATATATTACGATAAAATGATTTCGGATTTTCTGATATATTGACGCATGGAATTTCCCTCGGTGTTATTTTCTCGGTATTCCATTATCATTGGATAAAACCATTTAGAAATTCCAAACAATGAGCTCATACCAGATTTTACAAACATTTACACTACGCGTCGAAAACTGGTTCAAATTGTTTGCTTGAGATTTATGTATGCAAAATAATCAAACTGTTTGATATTTGTATTTGAGAATTCGTCATTAGTTCATTGCTACCAGTTTATTGTTGTTGTTGAACCATTCTTGTGAATAAATGAATTGAACATCAATCACGCCATAAATCGGACGAGAATTCGGGAAAAAAAAAGTTGTAAAAACTATAAATAAATTTAGATGTGCGAAAAATTAGCACCATTTTTTAGTTACTTTGTTCCGAAATGTTAAACGATGATAAAACACAAGCGAACAATTTGAACAGATTAGAAATTGAGAAAAACATCTCCGGATTCTTTGTTCATTCGAGTACTTATCTCGAATCGCATCGAATTTGTTGTTGCTTATTATATTGATATTTGATAATACTGAGTCAACAATACCAAAAAATGATGATTAAACATCGAATTAATGAATAAAACCTCAAATATTTGGTGAATTTAATATTCAAAACGTGTACGAGGAAAAAATAATATGAGTTTAAACAGCTCATTACGGAATTATAGATTATTTACCACATATTTAACGGTAAATATTCTTTTCAAGCCACCATATGTCCTTTTTTTTAAAGTCACACATGAATTTCTCAGAGTTTGAAAAGAGAATAAATTACAATTTCTCAAATGCCTGTCACTTTTTATACAGCACCAATAATAAATAGTTCTTTTTGAGTTCGCGCACGAAAATGATTGAGACGTTATGAGTGCAATGTAGCACATTATTGTCTGAAACTGTCTAATTGCATTCTTTGTGCTAGATTTGTAAAAATATATGCGAGCGCTATGTAACTTTCGAGATCAGTAACTTCATATTGGCATATATGTGAAAATGATTAGCACCATGTGTGCTATGCAAAATAAAAAGAAACCGTTAGATCGATGTGTATGAGTGTCTTAGTTGTAATTTACTTATTTGTTATTGGTATTATTTGTATGGATTTTGTTCTGCTTAGGCTTGCACATGGTTTTATGAATTTGTGAGAGGAAAATAAAGTAAAAAAAGCGAATATACACACTGCAAAAGGCACAATCAACAATCTCAACATGACTCTTTTTTTTTCTCCCGCAAGCTATAATGTCTTATTAAACATACAGTGAGTTCAAAATGTAGGCAGGTCTAATGAGACACCAACCGCCGACACTTGCACACTGCACACGCATTCTCTGCGCCAAGACAGTTTTTAATGATGACGATAAGAGCGAAACATGCAATAAATTTGTATCTGTCATTCTTTTACAATGTTAGATAAAAATAAAGTGCGACAAGATTGAATAATAAGACTCTTGGCACAGTCTTTTCTGCGCTCTTTTCAAGCCACATTTATATTCAAGTTTATTATTTCGCTAATTCTGAAATTACATTTAGAAATTATATTTTTATGGAATACAATAAATGTTTATATTTTTGTTTGCCTAATTTTCTCATAAATAATAAATGAATGCCATGTCGATAACATTATTATCAAATGAACATCATCTATCACGCAAACTTATTTTGTTTGGGATACGAAAAAAAAATGGAATTAGATAAAAAGTAGGTCCAAGCGCATAAACTTGTTCGTGATGATGATTTTGTTGAGAGAAAAAGTATGGATAATTGTGCAGTGTATAATTTGAATATTTTGTTCACAATTGGGCAAAAATACAACTCTATAATTGTCAATCACACAAGCAGATAAATGATGATTCATAATATCGACATTGTGTTTTGCGAGCGAGAAAAATAAAACTACACGAATTAACTATTGCGTCTTCAACGCCAAAAAAGTGAACTCACGAATTGTTGAATATTTAGTATGTTTTTTTCTTTCTTTTCGATTATAATTTCAATAACATTGTGTGTGAGAACGCTTCTTTGCGAACAATTTTCGTGAATGTAAAGTTTAATTAATGGCTCAGAACACGATTAGTCGAATGCATGGAACGAATAAATTTGCTTATAGATTATTTTCATTGTGCTATCATTGAAATTATTATTTTGTTTTCAACAACCGCACTGCGGTCGAATGCGCAACGTCACAACAGTGACGACATGTTTGATTGTTTGATTGTGACAGCATGGAGTGTTTCCGTCGTCATCAAATTAATGAGCGCGTTTCGATGAATTTAGCATGTTTTTCCTAGAATTGGAATTATGCGACTGTTTCGCAATAAGTATCTCGTGTGATATACATGCGGTTTTGGTTTTTTTTTTTAATTCTTTGTAAATGTTCATATCATTGAATTAATGTTGTCTTGTTATAAATTTTTACGTTTGAAAATATTAGCATACATTTCAACAAAAGACCACTTGACGACAATGAAACTGAATTGAATCGGTATAGACTTTAATTCACTCTATGCGAGATTTGAAGTAAAAAACCGGTCAAAGTTTGAGACCTCTTCTGTTTAGAATAATTAAGTTTTGACATTTTGAAGAGCTTTAATATCATGGGAAACAAAAATATGAGAACTGATGAGCATGCTTTATGAATTCATTATATTTTTGTGATCGAATGAAGAGATTGTCAAGCGTTGGTGCTTCTTTTATCATGGTTAAAATAGTTTTTGCAATGGCAATTTACAAAATTGCTTTAATTGAATTAACAGCTAAGAAAAGGTATTCGAATTAAAGTTTATTTTGCAAATTGTCGATAAGAAATCACCAGAAAAAAAAGTCGAACATGTTATTTGCTCTTGTGAATGTGAATTCGAACAACGGGTTTCCTTTCACATGGAATTCATATGAAATTTATTAGAATCGTCAATTTTAATGTTTTAGCCATTTCTGAAGGTAACACAACCTGAGCTAACCGAAATCGAATTGTATGTTATTCCTTTTAAAAGAAATCTTTTGTTCAAAAATCCATTTACAGTTTTGGCTTTTGCGTCATTACACCGCGTGAATAACAAGCAAATAAAAAGTAATGACGCATGCACGTCATATTTTTATAAGAAATAAAAAAAAAGTATTAATTCACACGTCCAAGACATCGAATTGTCCATTGTCAACATTGATATTTTTATTGAAGACCATTCGATCATACGTTATTTTAAGATTTTTAATTTTAAAACAATTTTTTGTTTTTTGGTAATTGAATACAAATTAAAAAATAAAACTTGCACAACCTGTCACTAATCAATGTTGTTTCGTTTCTATTTTTGTGTAGCCGTCTGGTTGGCGCAAACTCAGAAATATTGTACAATGGACACCATTCTTCCAAACATACAAAAAACAACGTTATCCATGGGTACAATTGGCTGGTCATCAAGGCAACTTTAAAGCGGGACCCGATCAAGGAACTGTACTCAAAAAACTATGCCCCAAAGAGGAACTTTGCTTTAGTGTAAGCGAATAATAATAAAATAACATCATTCAATGGCATTGACTAAAAATAGCTGATTTTTAAATTTACAGTATTTAATGAGAGATGTTTTACGACCTTATGTGCCTGAATACAAGGGTCAAGTCACCAGCGATGATGGTGAATGTAAGCACACATTTTTATACATGATCTTTGACACAAATGACAATGTGACTAATTTGTTTACATTTATATTTATAGTATATTTGCAGCTAGAAGATTTACTTAGCGATTTCGATCAGCCGTGCGTAATGGATTGTAAAATAGGCGTTCGAACATATTTGGAAGAGGAACTATCAAAAGCAAAGGAAAAACCAAAGCTACGCAAAGATATGTATGAGAAAATGATACAAATCGACAAAGACGCACCGAACGATGAAGAGCATCGAGCCAAAGGAGTCACAAAACCCAGATACATGGTATGGCGTGAAACAATCAGCAGCACAGCCACATTAGGCTTTCGGATTGAGGTAACAAGCCAGACACAGTTGAATTTAAATCAAAATGGAAATTAATTGTTCATGTTTTGATTGATTGCAGGGTATCAAAAAAGGCGATGGAACAAGTTCAAAAGATTTCAAAACAACAAAATCTCGTGATCAGATCAAAGAAGCATTCAAAGATTTTTCATATGGATTCTCGAATGCCATAGTATGTATCTAAATCAAAAACTGCACGAATTTTTGTTCTTAATTTAGAAAGTTCTCTCGCTTATCTCATCACTTGCATATTCAATGGAATTTAAAATAAAATAAAAATGTAATTATTTTGTTTCGCTTGCATTAATGAGATGGTGATAACAACTTGTGATTTAAGCTAATTAAGATGTTTCGTTTAAATCGATATCTCAATTAATATGCATTGTTAATTTTTCCATTTTTTCTTCTTCTTTTTTTCACCAACAGCCAAAGTATATTCAAAGACTCAAGGCGATTCGCGCAACATTGCTACGTTCGGATTTTTTCCAATCGCACGAAGTGATTGGCAGTTCGTTGTTATTTGTACACGATCGCACACAAGCCAGTATTTGGTTGATTGATTTTGCGAAAACCGTTTCGTTGCCGTCGGGCGCACATATTACACACACGAACGAATGGATTGTGGGCAATCACGAAGACGGATACTTAATTGGAATAAATAATTTAATTCAAATTTTCGAAGAAATTTTGTCGAATGAAGATGACTCAGTGTCAACGGAATGTCAATTGAATGACGATGAGGCTGACATTCCAGAAGCTGGTAAATCGATAGACGATGTAAATCAAATACAAGAAAACAATGTTGATCTTCAGCAAGAGATTTACGCAATGAAACTCGATCAATCGATGCAAGAGGATGACGGTACAGATCGAAGTGAAGACAATCGTAATCAAGACGACGAAACGAAGTTGTAATTTCGTTTTTAAGCAATATGGATTTAAAAAGGCAGCCTTTTATTATTATTATTAAAATTGATGAGGCAGCCTATTTAATGTGTTTATCACAAAAAAAACTCTAGCAATCACTATGTTTGGGGTGCGATTGCAAATGCATTAATACAGCAAACATTGTTGAAAAATATTTGATGCACGCTTCTGAGTGAAAGAATTATATATAAATTCATTGCAATTCTGTTGAATTTTCAACAGTCTCACATACATTTTTTTTCTTCAAATTTAAATAGAAAATAAAAAGCGATAGGTTACATTTAGTAACATTTTAATGTATAATTTTATTTCTACATAAGACTGATTTATTGTTTAGCCTACGAAAATCACATACGTTCATTCACATCATATTTACGAAAAAGAAATTGTAATTTACACATTTTAATGATGCGACAAAGCTTCGCAGAGTATTAGAAGGAAAGAAGAATTTTGAATTTTGGAGAATATTATACATTCCATCGAACAATACGCCAAACTCATATCACAATTTCTCTGATTTGAGACATTTTATTAGTACATTGATAATAATAAGGTGTAAGAAAACATTATTTTTTTCCACTTCTCTCGCTGTAGCTACCTTTAATAAATAATTAAAAAAACACACATATTCATTTACAATCATCAATTTGTCATGTCGGATTGCAGTTATTATTTAGAAGAAATGTTATATGTTTTTTTTTGTTAATAAGAATCAACTAAAAGCTAAAAACACAAATCTCTTTTTTGTTCTTTATTAACGTAATTTATCTTATTTATAATTCATATAGGAAATTATTGACAAAATGAGTGTGAGTCAAAAAAAATAAAGTCAATTAAAATTGAACATGTTACATGGTTTATTTTTCAAATTATGATAGAACCGATATTTCGGTTTCAATTGATTTTGAATCATCGTCAATGCCAGCCATCCTTATTCTTGACAACTTTTCTGTAAAGATTCGGTTGGTGCTTCTGTGGTTGTTGGCATTGCAAGTGGGCTAATAGCTGGTTTGAAGTGTGCACGTCTCAATGCAAGCGGTGTTGCATGAAGTGAAGAGCTTAATCTTCGTGTTGGCATAATGGTCGTTGATGGCACTGCGCTAAATCGTCGCATTCGACGTTGTATGATTGGACTAAGACTTACCGCGCTACATGGTGAATCGGAACTTCCGACTGGTGTGACGGAAAAACGATTTGGACGCATCAGTCGATTTCGTGGCACTGCCAATGACGATTTCGACGGATAATTTGAGCCCGCCGATGGTGGCGTTTCTAATGGCGTCGAAAATGAAACTGAACTTCGCCGTGTCATTTGGGGCACCATTGACATACGACGATTGGCAAGATATTTGGCGCCCATCATATTTTTCGTGTGTGCACTTTCAATGGCTCGTATTAAATCGGCAATGGTTGTTGTTTCGAGCACCATTTCTGATGATGCTGATTGATTTGATAAAATGCTCATTCGTCGTTTCATTTCGCCGTTAAATTGTGGTTTTTTAAGAGTATCGATTTTAATTGAATTTCTCCTCTCGACTGGCGGAGAAATCTTAACCGACGGTGTCACGGACTGTTGTTGGTCTTCTTGTGGTGGAATTTCTGCATTTGGATTGAATATGGTATTTCGTCGCTTGAAAATATTGTTAAATGCATTAAACACGGATTTGCGACGACCCACGGCCGAATCTATGTTGTCTTTTGGTTTTTCTATACTTATAACAATACCGTTTGTATCTTTTTTATGCATTATTTTGGCCGTTTGTCTTTTCTCATCATTCACTTGATCATTTATGAATTCTTGAATGTCATTATTATTACCAGACCATGTATATTGTGGTCTATTGTTGGATATTTTCAAAATTTGCGGATGCAACGATTTTGCACGTGATCTTAAAAATTTCTTCGGTATTTTTTGCGATTGTGGCGGATCATTCGTGGTAACAACAGACCATTCATCTTCGAGAATACTTTCATCAGAGAACAAATCAACTCCACATGGCGCTGGTATATTTGGATCTTCTTTATTTGAATTGAAATCATTCAAAGCGAACACAACCTGTGCCAAAAGTTCACTGGTGTTATCCAGCATATTATTTGGATTGAACGTTTTGTCACGATCAATGCGCATTAAATTCGATTCTGAATGTCGACTTTGTAATGGTCTCGGGTCAAATTTTCTCGTAATCACATCTTCATCAAAGAAATTCTCAGACATTGCTCTCTTTCGACGTGGAACAGGTGAATTACAACGGTACACCGTTAAATTTGGGCACGATTGCGAACGTGTTTGCCGATAATTATGTTGCTCTTTATCGTTTGTTTCAGAAAATACAGGCTACGAGAAAAAAATAAATTAATTTGACCAATTAAATAAAGAAAATTATAAATCTCTGGAGTTAATGAAAAGAAACGAACCCGAACGCGCATTATATAAATTTCATTAAGAATTCTACGTAAATAGCCAACATCTTTAGTTACGCCACCCCAGATGCGATTATGTGTTAATTTTATATTTTCAGTTAATTGCTTTTCGAACCGGCTGAGTCTTTTGCTTTGCATTCCACGTGCAATGAATCCAATTAACATGAGAATGTAGCTGAGACCAAAGACAAACCAAACAAACACAAAAATTTGATAAAATACAAAGTAAATGCCGAATGTTTCCTCCTGTAATCGAAGAAAAAAAAACACACATTGATTTAATGGTACCAACTCTGCAAATACAATTTGACTTATTACTTGATGTGGCTGAAAAGTTGGGACGTAGTCTCCGAAGCCTAAAATATATATGTAGAATCGATAATTATTTATTTAATTGTGATCAAACGTTAATTGAATATACATTGGAATAATTTTTTAAAAATATTACCGATGGTAAGCAGTGTGACAAAGGAATAATATACAGAAATCGAGTAGTCCCATCCCTCGAAATAAGTAAAGATGACAGAGGGCAAAAATATCAGTATGATCAACGCAGGTAAAATTAACGATAATGTGATTTTGGCGATCATACTCCATCGGTGAGGTGAATAATTTTCATTCGCATGCATATGTTGTGCGAATTTATACGCCTTGTATTTCCTGTACACTTTAATAAACTGAACCAACATTATTCCATTAATATTATGGAGCATAAAAGATCAAAATTCTGATCGTACAATACTTACGAACCTTCTTCCCAAAAAATTCTCCCAGATATGTATATAAAATCATATTCACGGGCATTCCAATCAGAGCATAGGCAATCATAACATAGCGTCCAAGAGTACCAGTTGGCACCATATTTCCATATCCTGGATTCAACGTTTTATTAAATTAATGGAGAACGACTATTATTTAAACGAAAACTTCATAGAATGACAAGAAATTACCCAATGTCGAACAAACTATGAACGCAAAAAAGACGGAATGATAAAATGTCCATTGGTAGGGGTTAACGAACTTATCTTCTCTGTAATCTGTCACTGGCTTATTACAATAGGTGGACAAACGGTTAAGAATGTCTTTTTGTATTACAATATCATCGGGCGATACAAATGCAACAAGCAATTCTGGAAAATGGTATTGAAAAAGTGATAACAAAATGAAATCCAAAATATATCAATGGAAAATAACCAAATAAATAGATTTGTACACATGCATTAGCATCTCTTTTGAATTAATATATGAAATGTCTTGGCAACACAATTTTATTTGAATTGTTTCATACACTGTCTCGATACTAACTACACTTAAAAGTATGAAAAAAGCTCTAAAAAGCTTTCATTGCCATTGTGGTGTGTGCACTTGCCGTGTTAATCGCTACTATAATAAAGTCATCTGTTTCGACTTAAAGCCATTATGAGCCTTTTAGCCAATGTGTTAATTACTGTTAATGGGCCATAAATATGACTTAGGTTTGAATTCTAGCGAGGAATGATACAGTCACTCTTGGCGGTGATTAAATATGTGAAACATATTTTTTTTTGCTGCAGTAGAAGCACGTAGTTCTTGGTTCTTATTTATTGTCTACATATTTTTTTTTTGTGTCAACATATAAAATAGAGCATCTAGAATTGTTCAGATTGCTGCGATACACGTGACTTTGAAAGAATCTTTGTGACAAAAATTGCCATAAATTGATTAAATTTACGTCATTGATTTCATTTAACTGAATGTTACTACAACAATATCGTCGCAAGTCAACCGCATTGTTGTTTAGTTGCTTTAAATATGATAGCGACAGTTTGTGCGGGGTAATTCTTTCATAATTCATACGCTTATTGTATATTGACGAACACACATGAGACAGGGTCTTTTTCATTGAATTAAATTTAATTTTTTTAAATCTAGGAAGAAATTATTTGTTTATTTTCAACCGCATTCAACTCGGTATTGACCGCAATTTTAATAAAATATTCTGAAATTTTCTTCTTCTTAACTTGTTTATTGTGACACGATGAAAAAAAGACTACATTTTTCGTGGGACGAAATTATATTCATCATCTAGAATATTCGGTATAATTTATTTTCAACGCGGAAAAATAAACGCTTGCTTAAGTCGTAACAAACGCTGTTTATTGCTTTAGTTTAAGGCAAGGACGCTGTTTACTAACATTGTTTGGGCATGATTTTACAACTTTTTATTCCACTTGCATACGAATTTTGCATTTCGTTAATCAAAATGACTTTTAATTCTTATAAGACTTTCACATAACACTCAGCAATACGATAAGTTTATTAAGATTCTTAATCAACCTACCATTAATCTCAATACGATCCTTCAGTTCTTTGGCTCTTCTTTCTGTCTCTGCATTATGTTCAATGTGATAAAATACGCATGCACCGAACATCAAATAGGTCATATAAAATGTTAGAAGTATAACCCATTGACGAGGTGCAAGGCCCATTTTAGTTTAAAACTACGTTCACAACCGATTAATTTCAAAATAATTCGAATTTCAGGCGAGATGTTTTGCAAAATTTAAGCACTATAATCAATTTTATCGCTTTGACTGTCATAGAATGCGATGCAAGAATGTTTTAATTCGAATGATGAGTGCGCAATTATATTTTAATAAAACGTTGAATGTTAATGCCACATGGAAATTATTACACATGTTTGAATTTCTAACGATGAACGTATGAATGCATCAAATATTTTAAATTTATTTTCTACCACAAGTGTAAACTGAATGAAAGATCAAAAACAACTGACACTGGATTTTTATGAACTTTTTGGGAACTTAAAATGATTTCTTCAAACCCAAAAAAAAACTACACACAAACAATCGCTCAAGATAAATTCCGTTTTTTACGATTTCGATAATTAATCCAAAAATTGCTTTTGCCTATTTGCAAAAATGACAAGTTTTGATTCACATACAAACACATAAAACTGAGTTTCTTTAATTAAATTAGCCAAAATAATAAAAAAATCTACACTATTTCTGTCTTGGATTTCGCAGAATCGTATTTTATTGCGTAAAGTTATTTCGATGTGCACATACAAGTGTCTGTAACATTAGGTATAAAAATCATTTCGTTTTGATCCTCTGTGGCAGAATGAGGCGGTCGCACAACTTGACAGACATTTTTCAATTAAACTCATTCGTACATTTATTATCAACATTATGTGAATGTGAATCTTACTAACTCTTCCTCTTAGTAACTTATATAATCCAATTGAATGAGATCAAATTCCAGGCATATATAACGAACGACAACGTAAAACAGTCGAATCATGTGTGAAATGCTCAAAAGAACAAGCGATCAAGGCAATCAGTTTCAGTTAGCGTCTTAAACTTATTGAGTCTTTCAAAGTGAACAATTTTTCTCTTGCACTACAAATGAAAATCATATTTTGTTTTGCGCATTTTTCAATTGCATTACATGTGACCAATGCAAAAAAAGAAACAAAGTATTCCAAATATATTTCACGGGTTATCGAGAAAATGAATATACATATTTTTTTCAATAAAATACCTATATCAACAAGAATAATAAATGCTAAAATGTAATTAAATCATTTCAAAAATTAATACAAGTTTTTTTTTCTGAAAAAGGAAAATAGAATCATTTACAATTATATTAGTTCATAGAAATTCATTTCGTTCACCCAAACATTTATCAAAAACGTATTGGATGAATATTTTAAGTTTGACTTGTTTATTTCATGGAATCGCATCTCCTTCGTTCTAAATTTGCTAAAAATTTTGGACGATTGGTTGGCCTGACTTGAGGTACATTTAATTGTGATTCGGTGACCGTCGTCAAAAATACACTACGATTTGGCAATGGAGACGTTTCCAGTTCTGAACCTGAGTAATTAGCAGAACACGTTGATATCGATCGACCAAAACGATGCGGACGTACTGTTAAATTTGTGTGGTCGTTGAGTAGTGGGCTTGGTCTTAAAGTCGAAAGCTTTTTTTGCAATGATGAAGTTGCTTGAACTGATGGCATGGGCGATTGGCCCGGTGGAATCGAGAGCAGTGTGGGCCGAACACTGAATCTACGATGTGGACGTGGTGTTTCATTATTGGTGGAATAACTATAGGGTGGCGGCCCCGTTGAAGTTGGCATTAAAATTGAAGACCGTCTCGACGATGGTAGATCGATTGTCGATTGACGACGACGATTTGAACGATTAAATAGTGGTGTATTCGATGTAGATAGTGGTCGCATAGAATTGCGACGATCATGCAATGATGTTGGTGTTGATGGCGGGAAAATATTTATCAATGGAGGCGGTGGTGGCGACTGTGGCTGTATATTATGAATGGTTGTACTGTGCATTGATGTCGATTGGACTCGTGGCCGTGAACTACCGTTCAATAAATTCTCCAATGACTGACTATTATCGCCAATAACAGCAGAGGTGTGCATGACCTCAAGGGCACGAATCAAATCGGCAATTGTTGTATTTTCTAAAACATCAGCGGTTGCCTCATCATTTGTCGATAGCATTGAGTATGTGCTGGGACGTCGTTTAACTGATGGCGTTAGATATGGTATTGGTGATGCACTCATTCGACCACGGGATGTACGATCTAAGTAACTTTTAACATCTAAACGATCCGGTGTGAGTGACATTTTTCTTGAGTCATCACGTTTTTTAAATGGATTTAATCGATCAAATATCGACGTCGAACTGGATCGACTTCGTGTCAGTGGTGGTGGTGGCGGTGTTTCGGGACTACCATCAACATTTACAACAAATGCCGGACTATCGATTTTCGGCGATGTGAGAGCAGCTCGATACAAATTCGGGGATTTTCGTTTGTTTAATTTTCTCAAACGCATAAACTCTTCGATTTGTTGATTATTTCCGCTCCATGTCCATTCATGTGAATTATTTAGCTCCAATTGATCCGGCACAGGAGCACGAAAATCGGACGCGGCTCGGCCGCGGGCTTTTGGCGGAGGTATGGAAACACTACTGTCGGAAAATTGAATCGACCATTTTGAATCGTGTAATTTTTCACTTGCCAAAATTTCCGAATCGGAGAAACCATGAAAACCGGCATTGCTCATCGCTGCTATACTTTGTGCTTCATCATCAGCCGCTTTAATATTACCCAGCGCTGTAAATACGCGAGCCAATAATTCGGTCGGTTGCATTTGGGCATTTGTCTCGTCAGAGGTTCGATTGCGATCAACTTTATGGATGTCACCATCAGATTGAACGCGTTGAATATTTCTTATATTTGTCAAAAAATCGGGATCATCGTCAACATGATAGAAACATGACTGTGCACGCTTTCTGGTCGGTAGATTTTGACGATAAATTGATAGGTCCGGACACGAAGATGTTCTTCTGCATCGTAAGTAATCGTCAGGCTCCTCATCCTCCGGACAAGTATTCTAAACATTTGCATTGCACATTTTTTGATTAATTTTTTCAATCTCTATTCAATAAAAAAAAATCATTACCTTGAATCTCATCATATAAACTTCGTTTAGAATTCGTCTAAGATAACTAACGTCCTTTGTCACTCCGTTCCATATTCGAGTCTGTGTGGAACGAATATTTTCCGCGAGTTGACTCTCCAACCGCAATATTTTTTTACTGCGCAGGCCCCTGAAAAACAGTAGCGATTGGTTATACATGGGTTCGCCCATTACCATCATTCAATTGGTTGTCGACATAAATACTCACTTTGCAATAAACGACATAATCATTACTAAATATCCTAAACCAAAGATGAACCAAAAAATGATAAACACTTCGTACACGTAGAACATATAACCGAATTTCTCCTCCTGATCCGAAATGAAAGTTGGGACGTAGTCTCCGAAGCCTAAAATATATACATACATTTATAGTTGATGTAATATGAAATGAAGGGATTTGACAAGAATAGTTCTTACCGATAGTTGAAAGTGTGACAAAAGAAAAGTAAATGGCTTCCGAATAATCCCATCCTTCAAAATATCTGAATATTAGCGATGGTAAAAATAAAAAAATCACAATTCCCGGAATAAGATAGAGAAGTATTTGCGCTATCAACCCAAGCTGATTTGGGATGTAATTTTTATTCGTGGCCATTTTGTAGGTTTTATATCGTTCATAGGCTGTGACAAAAACTTTGCCAAAAAAGTCACCCAAATACGCGAATAAAAATCCGTTCATCGGAATTCCGATCAGACCATATAGTATCATGAACATGCGTGACATCGTAGTCGACGGACTGATGTTTCCATAACCTTTGTAAATGTAGAAATTAAATTCAAAATTAACAAACCGTATAAATTGCAAGCATGAATATGTTTTAATTGAGACTGTCCAACCGTACCAACTGTGGAGCAAACGGTGAATGAGAAGAAAAATGCATGATAGAAGCTCCACTTGAACGGTTGAAAACCGTCTGTATAATTTGTCACTGGCTTCCCACAATAGTCACCTACCATCTACGATAATAAACATAAAAAAATGTATCAAAATAATCAAAGAAAAAAAAAAACCAAAACAAATGACTTGCCTGTAATATTGCATCGTGAAATTTGGGTTCTGTATATTTTACCAAAATTTCTGTAAAAATATAAACAAAATAAAAATATTGTATAAATAAGTAGCGCATGAGGTTATAAATCTTGAAGCAAACATATTAAACTAGTTAATTAATTGGGTCAATTGTGTAAAGAATTCAAAGGTACCGGACATTGTTTGTGGACTGTAGTGATGTAATGAATTGCAAAATAACTCTTTAAAATGCAAAGTTTGTACAGAAGTTGATTGCGATAGGGATATGGAGTTTTGATGGCTACAAAATGTAATGCATGACCTTGACACTTTCATCAATCTACAATGAAATGTGCTAACAATTTTGATTATCGATATGGTTGCAACAGTACAGAGAATAAATGCACTCAATACAAACGTCAAAATCAAGTATGATGAGAGCAGCCAAATAAAGAGCACATACATTTGTTAAAAACTAGAGATACGTGCCAAGATAGGTATTGTGTATAGTGAAAAATATTTCATATTTGTTCGGAATTTAAAATATTGCAAAAAACAAAACGAAACGAGAACCAACAAAAAATAAATAAACAAGAATAAAAAACGCTTCAAGCTACTGATATAAAATCATTGAGATAAAGCAATCAGCAATCGATAATGGGGGGATTGTAAAATGATTCGGTTTATTGATCTTGGCCAATCAATTGGCTTTAGACATTTCTCACGTATGTGTTTACATAATTTGCGATCATAATTCATTGTTGAACGGTAAACGCGTAGTATGCATAAAATGCATCGAATTCTTAGCTATCGAAAACTCTCAACACCAAATAAATGCATGACGCATTTACCAAAATGATGAATGGTTGATGAATGTATGTGCTTTTGAGCATATTGATCAATGATAAAAGTGAAATGTGCAAGGAATCATTTTGTTATTGAAATGAGCCTGGAGGTTACATAACAATCCACTTCAACAAAAAGGGTTAACGATTTGTAATGATAAGAACTGCACATCGTGCAAGTTTTATTCGCTGAGCATTGATTCTGTTCAGACTGTCTCTCTGTGTACGATTCAAAGACAGTAAGGTATATAGACAAACGAGCAATTAAGCATGAAAAAATTATCATTGAATGTTGTCAGGATTTTAATTTACCATTAATATCGATGCGTCGTTGTACATCATTGCTGAAATGTTTAAGTTCCTCTTCGTGTTCAATGTGATAGAAGACACTGGCCCCAAATAGTAAATATGAAATATAGAAAAAGAACAATGCCAGCCACTGTCTTGGTGTCATTTTTATCAAGCCGTCGGGAGGTCGTTGTCAGAATTCAAAGAATTTTTTTTTTTTAAATATCAAATCAACAATTTTAATATTAAAACCGAAAATAATTAAAAATAATTCATATCACATTCACATGCCATAGAATAAATACTGAATTTAACCGCATTAGAAAATATATACACACACATTAACCAATAATGTCCATATTGAAATATCACTATGAGAAAAACAATTAACAATTAAGTTCTGGTAAGACGGCAATCATTTATCGATATGACTTTATTATTATTATTATAAATAATATCTTGTTTTGAAATTCGGCACGTGATTACGTGATTGCGGTTGCGGTTAAATTAATTTAACGCTTCAAAAGATAATTCTTTGTCGTTTAAATTCGTTGGAACAGATTCGGAACAAAAATTGCATTCTGTCGTTTATGTTTGATGATGTTGATGTTGCCGTTTCATATTTGATGCACATCAAATGTATGCGAATTTTCGATGAAAATCAATTTGTTTTATTGACACCGTTCGATATGTAGTCTTTTCACAAAATAAATGCATTTTTAATTGGAAATTAGATTTGTAAGTCACTTAATCAAAACAATCACAAGTAAACTCGTCACCATCAATTAGATTAAAACACATTTTTTTTCGCTCTTTCAATCAATTTGTAATTCTTGATTTTTTGAATTATTATTGTTGTTGTGGTTGTGCGTTGTGCGTTGTATAAATGTCACCGTATTGACAATTCAACCGTCGTTCAATTGGTTTGGTGGCTGAAACTAAAACGAGATAGATGAATTTAGTACGTTCTTAAAACAGTTTTTGTTTCTCGTATTTGTGTGGAGATACAACAAATGCATAACGGTAAAATATATATCATTTCGACGTATAAGAAGAAAAGAAACCAAGTTTAAGAAAAGAAAGAGATCAAACTATAAATTTAGTTAATTTGTTCAAAAAAACAGCTGATTTTATTTTGCACTTTCTTTGTCATCATTCACAATTTTGTGCCTTTGTCTAATGCACTACCACACATAGCGTCAAACACATAATCGACAATCGATTTACAATTTAAAGTCAGTGTTTTCAGTAGCTGATTATAAACGGTACTAAATGTATTAGCATAAATTTGTGAATTTAAAAAAACAAATGTGTAACAAAGTGTGTAAGTAACGTAGGTGTATAATTGCGAATACACACATTGACTTTAATAACACTTAAATTTAACAAGAATGTCAACAAACAAATTTGTTTTAAATTTTTCATAATATATTTACAAAATAATATGGAATAAGTCACGTTGTCGATCAAAGCCAAAAAAGAAAGACTTCGGACAACATGCACACTGCAACAAACAGTGTAAGAGAATAGAAAATTTATCAATGACTTTCATTCTTCTGGCAAAGAATTGTCGACGCTTTCATTCATTAATTTCAACGTATTTTTAATGTGGACGATCGTTCAAAGCCAATTTTTTAATATAAACGAACCGATTGATTGGCCATTGAATCGAACAATTCAAAGGTATAGGGGCACAATTATTTTTATGATTATTGTTTTCAATAAATGATGAGTCTTGTCAACGATCACATATTGCAAAATGGTGATCGACCCTTATTCGGAAGAAATTGCAAAAAACGAATAAAAATAGATTATGAATAACCAAAATAAAATTGTTCAACAATTTTAACCAAACGATTTTCTCACATTAAATTGTCATAATTTTATGTGTAAATAGTAAATCGTCATTCTCTTTGTAGTCAAATTGATGTTTCTATTTGAAACGCAGCTCTAATTTACTTTTCTTATTACATATGATTCATATAATGCGCGGCGCTTTAAAGTGACCATTATTTTTCAATTTTAGTTGAGCAAGAAAGTTTTTTTTTTTTTTTGAAGAAATGACTGAGGTATCTTTTGAATTCGGACGTCTTGTGCTACGTCATTTTACTTTTCACAAATTCTTTCGGCTTTGCTTAAATATGGAATTTCTATTATTTTCATTGCAAAAAATAAATCAGAAGGAGTCGAAGTCGAATGACCAAGAAATACATTTTATTATAACTTTTGACACAGACATTTCGTCTCCTTTTGGAAGATTAATTATTTACAGCGGAATATATATATATATTCGACCGTTACACACTCTACACCATTTGCTACTAACCGTTAAATTGGAACAAAATCAAACGAAAAACCGATTAAACTCGATCTAAAAAAAAATTTTAATTTTCTGCTAAAATAAATGAAAATCAATTTTTCGGTATTAAATCGCAAAAAATAAATAACAAAAACTTATAATGAGACGTAAAATTGAGTTCGATTGGTAAAAGAAATGACCATGTTATCGCGATCAAAACCAATCAATTACTGACTGACCGATATCGCTTGTACGAAGCTCTTTAACTGTACGACAACTGATTCCTTGCTCATTCGACTGATTTTTTGTATCTCTCCTGGCGAAAAATTCTCATCGCAGGTATGTGTCTATGAATGAAAAGTTAAGAGTCATAAAACTCACCTGCAAACAATGTATGAGCGAGTTGCAAAATTTGTCGATAGTGCCGCATTGAATACGAACAGTACGCGGGACAACAAGGACAGCAACACAACCAAACGACATATGTGTTTGTTCATTCTATATGCTTCATACAAAACGGTAACAACAACAATTATGATCAGTAAGAGCTACTGTACGACTAATAACCACACGCTCCAAATGAATGTGTATCGCTCAATTCGTTGTTTTTCTTTTGCGCTTCTGGCTTGCTATTATAAAGTAAAGTGAAATATACGCAAAGACATATATAATCAGGCGATTGAATTTAATGAGAAAAACGAGCTGTATGTATTAATGATTATAATGCGATCGTGATGTGTACACAAAACATTATTGATGCCATTCCAAATCATTCCACGACTACTGTGTGTATGTATATGGATTTTCTCGATCATTTGTGTATTGATTATTGTTTTCCTTCTTCTTTTGATGTATTCACAAAGAATATACTACTGCATACTTATCGATTTGTTACAATTCAATCTTGGTTTTGATAAATAACCGCTTATCAACGCATTCTCAACGTGTTAAGGAGACTCATTGATTTTTATCTTTGATATTTTGATTTGACGCACAAACTCTACATTAGTAAATATCAATCTAACCGGCAATAAAATCGAAGTATGACCAATTTTATGGCATCAATCAATGATTTGTAATTGTTTCATTATGAGTCTCTATAAAACAAAACAAGCATGTGCCAATAGTACACATTTTTTGAAAATTCGTAAATTTTCACGTGAAAACTTGACATTTCGACCGGTTTATTAATCTATTACTCAACCGAAATTTATTTCCGTCACATGGTTCTAGTTATTTGTAACGCAATTATTATAATAAAAAATAGACATTGATTATTTGGAATTGTGCACTTATTCCATTTCAAGTACAATAACAAACAATTTTGTGATATGCGGGTTTAACGGAAAATGAAATAATAAACAAATCCGACGCTGGTTTGGCGCCCATGTGTTTCGTGACAAATTAATTGATATTTGTACATTTTCAAAATTTTGTCGCTAATAAACATTTCATTCGCATTCAAATTGATTTACAAAAATCCAACCTAATTGCCGAATACCACACACGTGAAGTTTCATTCCGAAAATTTTCCAAACACAAAATTTGCGCGCTATAATTTTGCATAAACAAATTCAGTGTTTTGAGGTAATTTTTTTTTTCTCTATTGTTTGTATTCCTTATTCGCACTGTCTGTACTTTGGACATTTCCTATTTATTTTCGCCGACCTGAACATATCGCACAGAATCTACATAGAATGTATCAACATGCAAAAATTGAATGGAAATTCATTAAAAAGAGAGAGAGACACACACAAAAGTCACAAAACAAACATGAATCTCAATGAACGTAATGTTCATAGAATTTTTTTTAAATTGACCATTGTTTCGGGGCCTCTATTATTGCACCAGTAAAACGGCATTTGTTTCATCTCGTCATTTTGTTGCTTCATGCTGAAAAAAAAAACTGGTTTGAATTTGCCCATTGATAGGAAGCGGACACGTTTTAATTCCCCAAACAATTATACATTTGTTTAAGATATAAACTATAGTAAAATTGACGTTGCGCTGTATGTGGTTTGTGCCGCAAAACCATTATGATTGAAAAAGTTGAAAAGAACAATTCGAGCACTATTGTATTTATTTAAAAAAAAAAGCATCCACGACCTTGGCATTTTTAACTTTATCCCAATGATAAGTGACATTATCATTATCAGAAGACCTCACCCAACTGTATCGATTTATCGATCGAAATCCCTTCAATCAGAGAATCAAGTGCATTGAAACAGAAAACCTTCATTTTAGCCACACCTTCATTAGTTTTTGATGTAATGCGAATCGTTTATTGTTAATTTGTAAATGAAACTCATTTTTCTACAATAGACAATGGCATCAAGTTCACTGACGCATCATTAACCGTATGAATGCCGTTTTAGTTGTTATGCGCAAGACGTGCGTCTGATTTAATCCGATTGATTGAATCGTCTCTTTGAAATTGTGTCATTGTTTCGATTTCTATGTCATCCATAGATTACTCGCTACTCATTTTACAGCTATCATTAACATTGCATTAAGATCCTTTTTGAATTTCAAATTTCACCACAATGTTTTTCCAAGAAACTGAAACAAAGTAATACGCTTTATTTTGATTAGAGTATTTATAAGGGTGACGTGCTTGGTGACGGTAGGTGCCTCGTGTCTGCATACAAAAACCGTCTTTATTGATTAAATGTTTGAATTGATCGTAAACGAACTTTATTTATTGTGTGGACTATATCTTATCGATACCGTTCCAACCGATTCAGAGTGATATATTTCTGTTTTGGTCAGCAAAATAAATGCTACTATTTTTGTGAAAATTCATTGATATATAAGCCGACAACGATTATTTTTACTTCTAAAGTCAATTAATAATTTTTGCTATGATCGGCTATAATATTCTCATTTTGTGAATTCAACGTGATTTATGCACGTATTCGACGGTTAAGCCATACCTTTCCCCTGCCAAACTAAATAAAGACAAACAGTTTTTGGCAATGTATATTATCATTAAACAATCGAGGAGTGCGAATTTATTCATAAAATTTTGGCGATTTTTTTTCCTATAATTCGACATCACATGATTGAAACTTGGCGGTTTATATATATTTATTTATAAAATAAGATCAATGATCAATGAAAAATCTTTATTTGAATGCCTTTTTTATGGTCAAAATTGTGTTAATAATAACATTTAAACAATACACTCCTTAATTCTTGGTGAAATACATTGCGTCTTCTAAAAACAATTATTATGACTTCGTGAGCAAACATCACAAGAAAGAAGAGAATAACAACGATTTCAGTTGGATTCCGCGTCATAACAAATTCTATGTTGATATAAATAATAAATTCTTGTCGATTATCGATGGAATAATTCTGAATTTTTCAATAATAATTTATCAAGTACGTCAAAATTAGAAGTACGTTGTAAATTGAATGATTTTATTTCCCGTTTTTGTCTTCATTTTATGAAAAATAATAGTAAAAAAAATACATTTTGATAAAAAATTTATTTAAATTTTTTCTTATTTGAAAATTCAGGTTTAAAACGATGCATAAATCTAATAACAGCATACTGATGAAGTTGGTCACATGTAAAACGTCAAATGTTATTGTCGAGACAACCTTTTGGCAGACAGATAGACAGACAAACAGACCGATTTGACATTTTTAGTATTTGTGTACAATTGCACGTGGATCAATTTTATCAATTGAATTTCGATTGTGAATGTTTATAATTTAAGGACGAGATACGATGTCAACGTTTGCGGTGCGTACTTCGTCGGTGAAAAATAGCGATGAATGGAAAAAAAAGCCGAGAAAATCGATTTACACTTTTAAAATTACCATCGACAAAAGTTTTCACAAATGAGCCCAGTGATTCCGGTATGACGTTCGGCTTTTTAGTTTTATTCGGAATGCAAAATGTAAACAATGAATAAAATTTATTCAAAATGTGTATCATTTTAATTACAGACGCAAAAGACGCTTTGCAGGCGTTTAAAAATGAATATTCCATTGCAAACGGTGTTGAGCAACAGCTGGCGACTGTCAATAAGGTAAAATGCTTTTGAGCAAAACAATTCGAACATTTGATTTTGAATTAAAAGTTTCAATATAATTGCAGTTACTCAGCCATTTTACAAGTGACAATACATGGATTCTAGATAAGGAAATTTTGTGTCAGTTATTAACTGATTTATACTTCAATGCTCCATTGAAACATCCGCTTCGTAGTATTTTGGCAAAGTAAGTAACAATTACAATATTCCCGTCAGTTTATTTTAAATCTTTCCACTTTTCTTCAACTCACAGGGCATTGCACAAAGAATCAACAAAAAAACGTGATCTTATCATCGAATCCATGAAATGTACCATAATCGAAAGTAATTGTTTTGCTCTCGAATCGTTGCGACAAAATCACTTGAATACAGAGCCAATAAGTGTCTTTGTCGCATCGATGTATGGTACCTTTGACAATTTCGCCGTCGCAATTGTCGCAATCGAACATTGTTTTCCCTTACTATTGAAGTCAATTCATCAATTCATCGATATTTTTATGAAAATGCTGCAAAATGCTGATTTATCTCCAGCCCGGCGCACTGAAGTGTTTATCGATTTGCACAATACAATTCGTATTGTTTTATCCGGTGTGCAACAGTTTCAAATGCAAAACATCGACTTCACTTTATTGGATCCAATTTTATCGCAGTGTTGGTCTGAGCTGTTGGATGACCCAGTCTATGCTGACGCTCCAATTGATACAAAAATCAATTGTGCCGTATTAAAAGTCAACTATGATCGTCTGTTTGGCAACATTTTCGAACCAAAACAGAATATTTTCAGTCAAATTGGTTTGGATAACAATACAAAAATGAATTTTTATGCGATTGCCATTGTAAATACGATAGTCGAAAAGGATTTAACCGATGCCGACTTTTATCCAGTATTAAAAGTAGTGCTAGAACAATTAATTGGGACTGGAAAAAAATTTACAATCGACGGATGTTTGATGATGGCCTTAACACGTGCTCTTGTACTTTACACAAAAAAGTTGTTGTCATTAATGAGAAAAGTCAATGTAGACACTGACACCGGCAAAACATGTTTACGAGAAACTGTGCAGGAATGTCTTGGATTTGTTTGGATAAATATACATCATTCGGTTGATTGTGTTCGCTATTTATCAAAAGATTTACTGAAAAACTTACTCAAACTGGGCCTAGAGCAGCCAAAACTATTCGATGGGGTGGTCAGTGAAACGATTGATATTGCCAAATCAAATTGTACAAATGAAACATTGACATGCCTCTTATTGGACTATCTCAGCCAAGTGTTTACCACGTCATTTGTGTTGAGTGAAATTCCAGATATTCGAGAGAAAATTCTGAGTAATTTATTTAACGATTCATGTTGGGCCCTATGCTATGAACAATTAATGTCGAAAAATTGCGAAATTGATCATGAAAAATGGTGTTTACGATGGATTCAACCATTGTTGCGTGTCGATGCGGTCGAATGGAAAAATGATTTTGATCGTTTGAAAATGATTCGCAATTTATTTGAACGTGCATTGAAAACGAAACCAGAAGCAGCCGAATTTATTCTTGACGATGCAAATATTTCGATTGAAATTTATTTATTTGTACTTTGGATAATGAGACGAAGTGGTCGAAAAATTTACGCGCCCGATAACTATCGAGTATCGGCCGATACAAAAGTGATTTACGCAAAAGTCCATCCATTGGATGAAATTCGAATTTTAGCGTTTCGCATTTTAATCGAATGCCATAAAACATCGTCTCAGTTTCCAGTTGAAGATTTGAATGAAATTTTGGAATTTTTCCGATACAATTGTAACGGCCAAAATCCATCGATGCGTCAACAGATTAGCACAACCATGAAACGGGCAATGGTTCGTCTTGAATGCGGTTATGCAACAGCGAAACGAACACCATCTGAGGACAGTGAAAAACTATGCAGTACTTACCAGACATTTTTACATGATTTAACCAAATTTTGCATAGATTGGTGTTTATTTGATGGCAGCAACTTTGGACGACGTTCTACAGGCCTGAATACACTCCTATGCGCCGTCCAAACGTGGCAAAAAATTCTACCCGAAAATGAGTGCATTTACACAGAAAAACTTTGGATTCGACTACAAAAAAGCTTGGCCGATTCATATGAGGTCAATAAAGAAATTGCAAGCAATATTTTAATGCTTTGTTGGAAATTCTATCCAGATAAAACCAAAATAATTTACAGTTTGGATGATTTAAGAAAGTTCATGATCACTTTTAGACCCTTCGATACCATGACTGCGGCTCAGTACATTGTCTTTTGTTCATTCAGTGACACTTATTTCAAAAACTATTATGATGCGGTTATTTGGTGTGAAACAATTTTGGATGATGGTTTGGCTGTGGTGAAACGATCACTTTTACAACTTGCCAGATACAATGCATTGTATGGAATTATATTAAGCATTCGATCACTTTTGAAACGAATTGACTTTTCTACCATCACTGATCCGACTGAAATTAGAAATTGGCGTTCGTTCTTCGAACGAATTATACCGAAATGTAAAGAAATCACGGAAATTGCAGCCCCCGTTGTCAATAGTAGTGCGCCTGAAGGCCACCTGCCAAACGATTTAAATGATGTATCACATTACTTATCGACGCCAAATGACGAACCTCCTGCTGGTACTTCTCAGATTAAAGTTACATCCCAAATAATTTTAATTTGCGCATGGCGCGCGGTTCGAGAAGCAGCTCTTTTGCTCGGAGAAATTGCTTTGCGTATTCCAGTTCTGTCGGAAAGAAATCCAAATGGATTCGTTTCAATTGACTTTTTAATCAAAATCGGTGATCATTTCCAAAAACTTTTAGTTGAAACAAAACATCGAGGCGCATTCGAACAATCATTTTTGGGTTTTTCGAATTTGTGCTTGCGATTATGGAGGTCACATGAGCCACAACTTCATTCGTATCCGATGAAATTGGTGAAGAAAATTGCAAATATTGTTTCGGGTGACGAAATAGATGCAGAATTAGATGTGAATAAACTATGCATAACGCGAAGAAGCGCTGGCGTACCCTTTATGGTACAAGGCATCGTTATGACAGAATCACAGGTCTGTTCATCGACAACTCTTACCTTTTGCATGAAAACATTTTTGAATATTGCAAAAACCGGATCCATTCCCGAATCACGTACACACTCATTGAACATTTTAAGGGCATTGTTCAGGTGAGTCAGTTTTTTATAATCATATTACTGTCGGTTGAATGAATGAGAAATATCTACGAATGTGGGTCTCAAACGCCATGAACGGTACTTACCTTGCAATGCGAAATGAAAAAGGACGTGCAATTGATTTTATTCAAATTAATAGTACTTTAACCCTAACTAATGGCAGATGCATTTATATTATATTTTTATTTCATAATTTTCATTAATTTTAGTTAAAAATAAGTCCCATTGAATAAATATTTTACTATGTATTTCTCTTCCAAAGATGTGCCGAATTGGGTGAAGCAGTGAGTGAATACATATCGGATGGCATTGAGTGTTCGATACGTGGATATAGTGCTGCGTCATGGCCAGAACGAAATTCGTCTACTTTGCTCTTCTCAGCACTTATGATTCGTGTATTCGGTGTTCAACGATCAAAAATATCTGAAAATATGAGCATTAAAAATAAATCCACCGGTCGCATTTTCTTCATCAGGTACATACCTATACTTTTAATGTTTAAATTGTTGTTTAATGTGATTTTCTTACCGCTTCGCAAAGATATCCACGATTGTATGACTTCTTCTACGTTGAACTGAAGTGTGCCAGCGAAGCAATTAAACGAAATGAACGTCCGCCTCGTTTACATCCATTATTGTTGCTCATCAGTCGATTGTATCCATCGTCACGTGAAGGATCTGATTCGAATTTTAAATTGTCCACATACATTGCGTTCATTTCAACATGTAGTTCAAGTCCGGAATTGGTTACGCGACAACTATCAGCCAAATCAATAGTCGCATTAATTCCATCCGTGAATGTTGCTGAACGTCTCTTCTTCATTCTAAACGAAATCGATGTAAGTGTTTTTAGCATTGTAATATAATGGAGAAAAGTTCACAAGTGAAATACTTTTAGGCAAAAACATCAGTGAATGCAACGCATGGATATTTACTTCAAGTTTTATACTTGCTGCGTTCAACGAAGGAAGAAAATCATGACATTGATGCTCAAACTTTACATGAGTTTATAACAAAATTTCTGCAGTTAATCATACCGGTGAATAATATTATCGGAAAAACTTACTTGGAAGTACTTTTGGAGATTCTTTTGACGTGAGCTTAATGGTTTTCGTAATTTGCTTGCGACTTTTCAATAAAATTTATATCGTTTCTTTTTCTTACAGTGATCGATTCCATCCGATTGATGCAGCGCTGATGCATCAATTCTTTGAAGTTCGTAATAGATTTGTAAAAAACTTTGCACAAAGCGATGAATATGGTAGATTGACGCAGTCTTATGTGCAAAAAACTTTCACCATATTTAATTTATTGCTGTCAATCGTTGCGGAAAATGAATCACCGGTCATTACATCCAAAGTAGTGAACACTAAAAATGAATTGGTCGAAACACAGTTGAACATCATGTATTTACTCTACTGTCAGTCAGATCAAAAAACGATTGGAACAATTGACTTTTCGTGCTATGAAATTGAGCTAGTCAAATTTATCAACAGAAATCATTCGAACAACACAATTATTTTGCAATTACTTCCATCAATCTGTGATTTGTACAATATAATTGATTTGAATAGAGAATTCTATCCATTCGGTGTGATAAAAGCTTATGAGATTTTGAGCATGTTAATTACTCCAATTGATGCATTTGAGAAAAATCCAGAATTGAAACCATTAGCAATTGGTGAATTAATCGATATTATGAATACTGCAAATAATGAGGATGCGGTGGACGATGTGTCCGAAGCACTGTGGAAATTCACATATGCACACTTGAAACATTATCAAATCAATCCATCTCAAATAACCATCGAACAAATGAAGGAAATTGTATCACATTTGAGAAATTCAACACAATCCTATAAATCATCAGGTTTGAGACAGACTGCCACCGAAATATTCTCGTTAGTGATCGAATATTTTGTAAAATGCACCGATTTAGAGCTTATAATTTCATTCTCCGAATTGTTATTATTTTTGCTGCGCGACGATGATTTTGCTGTTAGAAATCGTACTTCTGAAATTGTAATGGATATGATTGAAGGCAACGAAAATAACCATTCGATTGATAAAGGTAATTTTCCTTATTTTTCCGAAAAATTCAAATTTATTTTGGTAATTGTTATTCATATTTTATTTTTTAGTGATTTCTTTGGCCGCCGAAGACCATTTATTACAATGGCTCGATACAAAGTTCATAGAATTTGCAAAGAAAGAGGCATGGTCAAAATGGTTAGATTTACTTCGGTTGATTTATAAGCCTTTGGCTGGAAATGCGGACGAAAACGTTGATGGTGACAGTAACGAAGATAATTTAATCGATGTTGATATTTTCGATGATACAGAGGCGAATACATTTGATGAAACGATTTATACGAGTTATAAATGCTACAATTTTGTTGTTAAACACATAAATAATGCACCATTAGATTCAGTTAAAAAACAAGAAATTCTCACAGAATTCGCTACTCTACAAAATATTTAAATTTTCTAAAAATATATTGGTATTTTTAGAAAATCAATAAAAAAATAACACAATCGATAATTGTATCGAAGAAATTTTGAAATTGATTTATTGTTAAAAATTCATTCTGATACATTTTTAGAGATCGTCTTTAGCTTTCGACCAATAAATACGCTAGGGGCTTCTGACGTAAAAAAATGCATTAAATTTTTGAATAAATATGCGTTGTCAACAAATGTCATGCAAATAGTCAAATGTGTCACCAACACGCTATTTGTTTACTTTCTAAATAACTTGATGAAAATGGCTCACTTGTCAATTTAAATCGAATCAACAAATTTAATTAAAGATGGAAATCTAGTATCACACCACATAATTTCCGTATTATATATGATTTTTTATCATCATTAAATTTAAACATTTGAAACCAAGGGGAAAATCGGTACTGAAATAATAAATAAGTAAAAAACACTTCTTTGGAAGTTCTCACTGTGACGCAATACTGCACATCAAATCTGAAAATGATCTGATATAAATTTTCAGTGACGCTTGCAATCAAATACACAAACAATTTTTATATTATGATAAAAAAAAACGTAATTCACACATTTTTTTTAACAAAATTACGATTTTCATCGATTTTTCCCCATTTTTTAATAGTATGGCCCTAAATGGATTGAACCATCTCCACTGAATTATTTTCAAAATTTCTTCGCTGTATGCTCTTGGGAAGCTCAATATCTTGCCAAAGAGCCAAAAATGACGTATCTTTGTTGAAAAACACACCGTGTACCATAATCTAGAAATTCTCAAAAAATCGAAAAAAATTTTTGGAACGAATTTTCCCAGATATGACACATACACCAAAACATCACAAATTTAGTCCCCAACAAACGCTCAGTTTTTCACGAAAAAAAAAATGAGTGCAGTTTTTTAAATTTTGGTCGGTGTGAAAAAAGTCATGGTCATTTTTCCAAAAAAACAACACATGCAGCGCCATCTAGCGATCATTTTCAAAAAAATTTCTAATCTGACGTTAGATCTGGATAGCTGAGGTTCGTAGCTTTCCAAGGACATATAGTTCATTACCTCACCTTTCATATGCACAGAAAGTAGGCCATTCGATGAAAAACTGAAAAAGTGCATTCCACTTTTTTTCGAACCTAGACCCCAGGCACTTGCGTGACGAAATCCAAAAATTCGAAGAGACATGTATGCTCAGTTTTCCATCTACTTTCGAATAAAATCGGTGTCCGGCGATCTATCAAAAACTGCGGAAAAAAATTTGCCGACAAACAAACAAACCATTTCAAAAATTTCGTGTTTTTCGTATGATTTTTTGACATGATCATATCTCGGACACTTTTCGATCGACTCCAACAATTTTTTTTCAACACTATCTACCTGAACTCCAGTTTCCGAATATGCCATTTTTCGGAAAATTGTTTCTGGTTTGAGTGGTCAAAAAATTTACCTTTTTTTTGCAACGCCACCTAGCGTCAAATTTTGAAATTTCTCATTTTTTTTGCGGATTTAATTTGGTGCCCGAACACTACTTAAATATGCAAAAACCCTTTTCCAACAGTCAGCGGTATCGATTTTCATTTCTTTACAGTATATATAGAGTGACGCAAAATATACATATTTCATATGTATGTTGGTATTGCGTCACTTGGGGGACTCCCGTCCCCCGTGATATACTCAGAAGTATTGAAAAGTACCGAAACGTATCAAAACATATCAAATAGGTATTGATTTTTTTTTTCGATATTTTTGTGCACCATCGAGAATATTGAGAAAAAAATCGTCTTTTCGACTGTCTTTCTGCTACTACATGGCATCTCGGAGACTGGGTATAGTGCACAAAAATATCGAAAAACATTTTTTCACTTTTTTTGTGCATTATACCGAGTCTCCGAGAGTTTCATACAAGCTTGCCATGTAACACCAAAAAGACTGTTGAAAACACGAAAAAATTATTCACTATTTTTTTGAAACGAATACCTATTTGATACGTTTTGGTATATTTTGATACGTTTCAGTACTTTTCGGTAATTTTCAATACTTCTGAGTATATTTAGTATTTCAGTACCGATTTTCCCTTTGTTTGAAACACCACTAGTTTGTAACAAAATCATAGGTGATGATTCCCAACAAAAATAAAACATAACACAGGCGGTCGAATCTCGTTTTATCAGCGGACAAAAGAAATGACAACAAAATGGGACAAACATCATCCGAACCGATGACTGAAAAAGAATCAGCTCATTGCCAAAACGATAAACTCGGAGGGAATCCCACCAACAGGATTTGGATTATTGGATCAGAACGGGGAGTGTACTAGGTCTGCTATCCAGCAATATCCGTAGTTCATCGTTGCTCAGGACTCTTAAACTATTGCAATACGCCCGCTTGATGCCAAAGATGCATTTAAGCCTTTTGAGCGGAATAGATTCCTCGGATAGAGTCGACGAATGTAGTTTTGGGTCGTCGACGCACTCAATACTCACAGTAATCGCAAATGCATTCGACTATGAATCCGGTTCAAATTCCCCAGAAAATGTGAATGTTCCCCAGATTCAATGGATGGATCTGTGAAAAATGACGCTGAATCAGTAGAACTGGCCGCTGAAGCAAAACTATCAGCCAAAGCAAGTACAGGCTGCTCAGGCAAAAGTACAGGCATTAACAGAAGCATATACCGCTGCATTAAAAGATTTAAACATTGCACAAGCAAAGAAAGTTTTTAAAAATCTTAAGCTAGAGGGAGTAACCACTTGGAATCAAGTGAAAAACAGAGCTGAGGTCCAAGAGTTGCCGGCTGATGGCAAAGAAGAACTGAAAAAAATGATTGAAAGTTCAAACAATGGTGTCAGTACCAGGTATAGAAAAAAAAACTATTCACTATTCATTTCGACTTTAAAAAAATCATATACGAGGGCGACTATTTAAGTTTCTTCAATATGTATGTTTTAGTATTGCCCGATGCAAACCATTGTCATATTCGTAAAGTTGGACATTTTTCATGACCATTTGACTTAACAGGACGAATTTTAGTTTTGTGGTATGGCCACGGTGTCAGTTGGAAAAGGTCAACTTCGCAAAAAAATGAAATTTACAAAAAAGATTATTTCTCATAAGTTTTCAAAAAGAGCTGCCTGCTCAACAGTATTACTCCCGACTCAAGTCGGGGTATGGGAAGGAAGTACCATGCCTTGCCACTGTATACAACTGGTTCACTGAATCCCATCGTCATGGTGCTCGCTACAGTGATCAATTGCGCGATGGTCCTTCGAAAATTGATGTCATCGAGAAAAACTCTGGTGCCGATTGAGTTAGGATCGAAGTTTCTTTTACAGTTAAATTGTGGTATGCCCAAGGATCACAGAGACTCCAATCATTTGGTTCTTCCATGAATTACAACATGAAAAAAATAAATCTTTACGTGTCAACCCACAGTTGCTCAAAAATCGATTGATTTTAATCACATCCAAAAAATCATAACCAATTTGACATAGGATAATAAAAACACGTCTATATGATCGCAATAGAAGCCAAGACATGATTCCAGTAGTTTGGACCTGAAACAAAAACTTGGTTGACTCTCTGAGTCTTCAAACATGAACACAATCGAACAAAAGTTGTTCGTTTGTGAAGTGATAGGGAAAATCGGACCTCATTATTTTACAGTGTTATGTGTCATGTTGCTACCATGCCTTTAGAGGATGAAAGGTCCTTCAATGCTGAATAGTACACAACCATTTGATTGTCAAAAGTCATCACGGGAATATGGAGACCAAAACTCTGAAACTTATAATCCCAAAACATGGCAAAAAGAAGCCCATCAAACAGTCGACTATTTGACCACCCAAAAGATCGAATTGATGCACAATACTCCGTGTACGAATTATTCGGGACCCCTCTGTCCACCAGAGACCAAAATCAGTTGGATACAATATATTTTTTGTATTTGAAATTAGGTGCATATTCAAAAAAGTGCACTTTTTGGAGTGTCATGTTTAAGCTGCTGTCGTAGCCATACCACAAAACTAAAATTCGTCCTGTTAAGTCAAATGGTCATGAAAAATGTCCAACTTCACGAATATGACAATGGTTTGCATCGGGCATAGGGCTTCCCACGAGCACGAACTGTTCGTGTTCGTTTGTGTTCGTTTGTGAATTTGATGAACAAGATCGAACGTGAACATAGTAATTCAAAATTCGAACAGACAAAAGCGACTATATCTCGAACGTTCATATAATTTTTTTTTTTTTGAAAAATTGTCAAAAATTTCAATGCATTTATTAATTTTATTTGTTTTGAGAGCGTTATTGTTATTGTTGAACAGTTTGAGTTCGTTCTCGTTCGCGTTCTTGTTCGCGTGAACAACCGAACAACGAACACAAACAAGCATAAACCAAAATTTTTCTGAATCAAATGTTTGTGAACGATCTCAAACTGTTCGTGGGCAGCCCTAACAATTCGGGCAATACTAAAACATACATATTGAAGAAACTTAAATAGTCGCCTACGTACAAAAAAAGCAGTTCAAAACCCAATCCAAAACGAAATCAATTATTAGAAAATTTTAATCAAACAAAAATGACACGTCATCAATTTCATTATATTCACTCGTTTTGGAATTATTATTATTATTATTACATTTAAAGGTGGCAACGAATTCGAACGATCATATTAAAAAGTGGATTTTAGTTCGTTCGTTTGTTCGAATCCATCTTCGAACGAACAATTCGAACGAACATCTTTTCGAACGTTCGAATATGTCTCGATACGAAGAGTTCGACTGTTCGAATGCATTCGAACGAACGAACACCTTGAATGTTCGCTTGAATATTTTTTTTGTAAAAAAGGTTAGTTTTTTAAAAATAGAGTAATACCTCTTCCAAGAGGAAAACATTTTTGTTTTAAAAAATTAACATCAAAATGAACGTCAAAATCGTCGATGCTTGATGTCATTCCGCCTCCACTTCCGATCCGTGGAGATTTACATGAACTTGCGACGGTGCTTTGTGAA